CTAGCTAATTTATAATGATGCTTACAAAAAGTAAGTCACCGTTTCCTTTGGGTGATTTAACTATTACTTGTAACTTAGGATGCAAGTAACTGATTCAATTCAATTATTCGATACAGTGAAGAAATACATACTTAATCACTCACTGCATCAGGATAGCTAGAACAGGCTTTTCAACCTAACAAGTAGCTACCCTCCGGGATAACTATCACAATTAAGTAACGACAACGGGTAAACAAATCAGAAAAAGTTGTCGACCAGCTGTACATTGTCTAAAATGTAATTTCTTTTGAAAACCTTTAAAAATTTTGACAGCTGTTCTTGAGAGTACGTTTCGATTTTATCGGGTAGGAGTTTATTTGACATCAAAAAATTGAAACATTTAACGATTTTGCATGAAAGGGAGTTTTCCATAGTTTTTGTCCTACAGCGATAAAACGGAATCATTCCGTTAGAAGTAGAACGTGTATTTCGTTTATTACTATAATTACTGACGTTTAGAAAATCAAGAGGTGAACGTTTTAAATATTGAAAAATGGTTTCTTTAAAAAGTTGAGTTAAATAAATTTCATGAACTGTATCAATGCCCAGATCATTAAACTTTGTTGTTATGTGATCGTATTTGCGTTTGAAGAATATAGTACGGAGAATTCTTTTCTGGCAGATATAAATTTTTTTCTAAATTTGTTTTGCTAGTACTCCCATAAACAAGCAGACCATATGAAATTATAGGTACCACATATGCCAGGTAGAACTTTAACAGCATTTTGCGAGAAAAAGCTACCCTGCCCTTATACATAATTCCGTTAAATCGGCCTAGTTTTCTGCAGACAGTTTCAACATGGTCTGTAAATTTGAGTTGACTATCAATGATAACACCCAAGTATTTGAAACAATTTGTAAATCCTATGTTTTCACCCGCAAGTGAAAAGTCATTATCCAAACATTGTTTACCAAATGGTAAAGATTTTACATTTTGTAGAGCTTATCGACAATTTATTTCGCACACACCAGTCATCTGTTTTCAGCAAATCATTTTTAAAGTAATCATTTACCCTTGTTGTTGGGAAAGAAGCAAGAATAGCAGTGTCGTCCGCAAAAAGACTTAATTCCGATTTTGAAACAATTTTATTTATGTCGTTAATGTAAAGTAAGAAAAAAAGGGGTCCAAGAACAGAGCCCTGCGGAACTCCGTACGATATTACCTGTTGCCTAGAAGTACCGTTCGAATTAACAACAAATTGTTGTCTGTTTGTCAAATAACTTAATATCAATTTGTTGAATTTTCCTCTAAAACCGTACGCGCATAATTTTTCCAGAAGAATGCAATGGTTAACTGTATCAAATGCTTTTCTCAGATCAATAAAAAGTGCCAAGCCCATATTTTTTGTCTCAATCGTTTTTCGCATGAATTCAGTAACTCGTAGGACAGCATGGATACAAGAATGTTTTTCGCGGAAACCAAACTGTTCCGGTATTATAATATTGTTTTTGTTAATGAAAACTAGCATTCTTTTATAAATTATTTTTTCAAAAATTTTGCTAAAAACTGTCAAAAGACTAATAGGTCGATAATTACTGGGATTTTCTTTTTCTCCTTCTTTCAGAAAAGCGACAATTTTTGCAATTTTACAAGCATCTGGAAAATATGCTGTATCAATACATTTATTAAAAACGTTTGCCAGGAAAACAGATATGACTGGTGAACATAATTTAATCATTTTAGTTGAAAGACCATCATGACCACTTGAAGTTTTAGTTTTTAAGGCCCCTATTACCTTAAACACTTCATGTTCATCCGTTTTAAAAATTACAAAACTTGATATGTTTCTGTCTAAGTTTTGAGAAGCAGAACCAACAAGTGGCAGAGAATTGCTCAGGTGCTTACCAATATTGACGAAGAAATCATTAAGTAAGTTGGGTTCAATCTCTTTTTGGGCTGGTTTTCGTTTTCCACAAAAACGATTAAAAGCTTGAAACATTTGTTTTGATGATGTACATTTTTCAATTTTCTTATCATGATAGTCTCTTTGAGCACGCCTAATTGCCATTTTTACCTTATTTCTAAACATTCGGAAGCAATTAATTTTCTCTAGTGAAGGTTTCTTAATCATTTTGGCATGAAGACGATCTCTCTTTTTACACATTTTTTTGATATCATTGGTGATCCAGTCTTTGTGTTTTTTCCTTAGTAATGTTTGTTGGGGGCAAAAACGGTCAAAAACATCCAGACACATTTTTGTTAAATCGGTCAACATGTCATCAATTGTTGCCATATTGCAATTATTGAGATTTTGATGCAAAACAAACAAGAATTTCAAAATATTTTCATTTCTGTTCAAGATTTTCAAGTTTCGACCTATCTTAAAATTGTCACTATCATCCAAAAAAGGTCCAATAGAGGCAACTAGCGCATAATGATCACTTAGAGAAGTTTTTAAAGTAGTTACGCTCATATCATATTTACTGATGATATGATCAATACAGGTAGAACTAGATGCGGTTTCTCTTGTTGCTTCACTATTTGATATGAAGAATCCAAAAAAACTAAGTATCAATTTATATTCATCAATTAATCGAGAATTGCGCGACACGTCCAGAATATCTAAATTCATATCTCCCACAATGATTGAGTTCTGACATTGTTTTGAATTCAAATTCACGAGTAAATCCTCAAATTGCGTTAAGAAATGCTTTGAATTGATTGATGGCGGTCGATACATCAAACAAACGTTTAGTTTCTGTTTACTTCCTAGAGTTAAAGTTAAGACAACATTTTCTAGTTCATTCGATAAAATTTCGTGCGAAAAGTCAATTTGATTTTTTATGAAAAATGCTAAACCCCCACCCCTACTTTTTTGACGGTTAACAAAAACTCCTTCTTGGTAGCCGTCCAAGTTATAAAGTTCCAAGGGATCATTGTCACTTAACCAAGTTTCGCATAAGGCAACGACATATGGTTGCCATTTTAGTGAAGCAACAAGAATTTTTAATTGGTCATGATGGTTGCGCAGTGATTGAATATTTAAGAAAAGTATGTCCCCGTCGTTACCCATTAGAAATCCCTTTAAAATCAAAAATAAAGCTTTAACACAGGAAAAAAAGAGATATTTTTCTGATGTTCAGAAACTCTTTTTAATTTTCAGGTTGATCTTTTTCTTCGCTGCTGCCCATATTATCATCGCTAACAACATCACCACTGGTAGTCATTTTCTTAGGAGGTGGAGAATGGCTTTCAATGAGTTTTTCCACCAAACAGCATAGTTTATCAAGTTTCCGCTCTTGTATATCATTTTGCGATTCATGACTATCCGGTGATCTAAAAGCCACGTTCCTTTTCCTTTTCCCCGGAGTTCCCAAAAAAGAATAAGATTTTGGATATTGAACATCGTCGGAATCAGCAGCATTTTGAATAACATCCGTATATTTTTCATTGTCAGTAGTTACTGAGATATCATTTCCCATATAAATATCGACATCCTTCTTGTTATCAATTGGTTGCCATCTGCCATATGAATTGTACTTTTTAATCTGGACTTGATTCTTATGAGTAGATGCTAGTAGATTTTTGTCCCGTCTGCAGTAGTTCATAATTTCCCTATCTTTTTCTGCCAATCGTTCGTTTACATGAATTTTATTTCCAGTTAAATCATCCCAAAAATCGAATCTCTTATTCCATACAGCATCTCGCTGGTGATTATACAAAAACTTGACAATAATCGGACGATTTCGACCTTTACCTGGTAAATAATGACACGCGACGATGTCCTGGGGCTGAATTGAAATATTTACTGACCTTAGTATCTTCACAATTGAATGGACAGGGTACTCACCACCATCCGACACACCATGAAATGTTAAACACATAAATGAGGAATAACTTTCCACTTTCGTAACTCTTTTTTCCAACTCATGATTGTCGTAAAGAAGCCTGTCATTCTCACCCCGTAATTCTATAATTTCATTCTGTTGGGAATCGATCTGTTTTATTAATTGCTCAAGAAGTAATCTAACAGAGTCTCCATTATTCAAATCCGTCAAAGAAAGTTTTTGCAGTAAGGCCATATTGAATTGTTGAAAGCGAACGTATTTTAAACGAAGATTTTATGCAGCAAACGTAAAAAGAACAACGCGACTGTTTCTTAGCTCATTTTCAGTTCTATTTAATAAGTTTATCACAACAATTAGGCTAACTGACGGATTTCTTTTATCGGGTGTGGGCTGCCCTCACTGTCCACACAGTATTGTCTATGTAGTGTTGGAAAAAACCTTCGAGCCGTATGATTAGGTCATCTTAACGACTCTTATTGCACAATTTTCAGCTCCAAAATTTTGTCTGTGTAGCATCAAAGTCATCATACAAGATCCCACTGCAGTTTTTTTAATTAGTAATTCGAGCAACCTTAAAATTCCACATCATTGGTTGTGAAAATTCTTCTGGTTTTGTGTTTGGGGCATTTGCCTTTATGACTTCAAACTAATCAATTTTTACGAGACATCTATAGCCAGAACCTTCTAACTGTCTTTCAAGCTAAATTTTTGCAAAATTTTTCTGAGGGTTGCAACCATTGCAAATCCATTTGTCTATACAAACCAAGTGTAGTAGCTTTAAAAAGGATTTTTTCTTAGCCATATTCAAAACGCGTTCAGTTGTGTTTACTGACTTGTCAGGTGGCTTTCTTTGCCCGTATAATTTTTAAGGGGCATTGTTAATAGCCTCTTCAAGAGAGAATTCTGTTTACAAGCAAAGCCCTTATCAAAATCATTTTAAGCAGTCTTCACCATCGAACCCTTTTGCTCAAAATTTCACCTTCCACTGATATCTAGGGCAGACTTCGTTTTGACCTTCTAACAGCAGTTTCAAATTTTTAAAATTTATTTCATAAAAGCAAGTTCAAAAAAATTGGGACACAATCTGAGTGGAGTTATGGCATGACAAGCGTCCCAAGGACATTTTTTTGTATATGCTACGAACCATTGAATTAAAAAGTACCTGAATCGCAGCCAACTTTTCTAAGTTAGCCCTTTCGGTTTTTTTGGTTTAATTTTAGGTTTTTCACCAATGTTTTGTCTACCTGCTCATACTAACCAGTGTATTTTTGCTAATCCATGCAGCTAAGCCGTCGGCGTCCCTCGGATGTTGACCTATTATTCTGTGCGTTGCTAAACTTCTGATTTTTTCTTGTTTTGTTTTCGTTTTGCATGACATCGCTGTTCTTCAGACTTTTTGCTCATCAAACTTTTCTGACAGGAATCAGTCATTTTATTTTTTCCGCCTATGTCGGTTTTGACCGCATAAAAATTATACCGTTATCGAGCGGCAAAGCCGAGAGACTATTTTCTTTCAATTACGTCTGGCTGTTTCAATATATTTTTCAAAATGTTGTCAGCAGTCTGACTTTTTGAGCATCACTCTTTGCAGCTGCCTCAATCTGGCACAATTTTTCCCGGGGTTTTCAATTAAATGTGTTTTGTACCAGTTATTTTGGTTTTAACTCTGACCATCAATTCAACAACTGCGCCAAACTCAATTCATTTTGGACTCGCCTAGAATTTTTAATGGCAAAACCTGTCTCTCTGAAAAATTGTGAAGTTTGTTCTTTTTCGGCTTATCAAGTTTTTAATGCCTTTGCTTGAAAATTCTCGTAGGCCCCTTCTTCCTATCATTCGCCTACATTAACTCGAGACTCAAAAGTTTTAATTGAAAACTGTGTGTGCGCCTTTTGATTCAAGAGAAACCTAGTAAAGGTCTTTATAGAGATCCCAAGAACTTCAATAAAACTTTTTACTCTTTGGTCGTTTGTCCTTACCTAAAAATCCATAGCCACCGCCTTCACACGTCGCGTCTCTGGATTGCGAAGTCCTTGCAATGGCTTTCCGATTTGTGCCGCTATCACGCTGAAAACGCCCGTCCTTTAAACTCGGTGAGCTAACAAAACACGCAGTTAATTGAGTTCGCTAGATATTTGCAGTTAGAGTTATTCTCTGAGGACTGCGTGCTCCTGTCTCTTGTTTCTATTGATAAGGTTACTCCTTTTTCAAAATTCCAATTCAATTTGTTTTTGCAGATACTCAACAAATCGGGAAGACCGATGGACATAACGGCTCATCAAACGATCTTCTAATCACGTCCTTTACCTTGCTAAAACATTTTTGACCTCCTACAGCTATCCTTTTTTGCGCTACCCTTTTTTTGTGTCAAGTACCCTAAATTGAAAGCTGTGAACCGCTTGATCCCAAAGAAAACATGCTCAGATGTCCTTAATTGCAATGAATTACGTGCTTAGGAGTATACTGAGAAATCAATTACAGCATTGGCTATTGTTGAAAGTATTTAGTTTTTGCTATTTGCGTGGTTCAAGGCGATTTTGAAAGCACAGTTTACATGTACCCAGGTGGAATTTCATCCGCTACTTTTACACTGATATACTATTTTGGATTTCTATCATGCGCAAGGTAATTAGAGAAATGGCAAAACTGATTTTTTTCTGATTTTAAAAATGTTTTGCGCGTCTTATAAATGTCAAATTTTCGTAGTTAGTGATTGCAATTGACCACCTTGATAATGCTTTGTCAAAAATTGGCTGAGTGTTTTGGCAATTTTTCGTTACTTTGTGTACATGCTGGAATCCTCAGGTCGTTTACCTTCAAAGATCTTGTTAAGAGTTTTGGATTTTATTTACAAACCTAAAATTGTTTCGGATATTGATTTTCAAACACTTACGTTTCAATTTTTCTGCAATGTTTTGTTCAAATGCATTCATGTGGATGCATTGCATCCTATGGACCTGTTGGACTGTCCTCCCAAGGACAAATGTACTGTATTATCAACAAGCCCAGCCCCTAAAATTGACAATGCTGCCCTTATCAGTAAGTTTATAGTACCCACCATATTTGACCTGTTTTCGTTAGTCCGTGTTTATCTTTCAAACCAGGAAACTATCATCTAGTTTTTTTTCTTAGTACAAGTTTGAATGCAACTTTTTAACAGCCTAGAGAAATATCTCAGAATTGCCAATCACAGTTCTTATTATGTCATCAACAAATCATTAAAAAAATAAGCACTCTTCTCGTTTCGATCTGTACCCTGCTGTTTCAGTTATGTTCTGCAATACCAGACTGTTTCAACAAACCCTGGGCTCCCGGATTTCAATCTGTTTGGATTTTAATTAGAAATCTAAAAATGTTTCGGATGATGATTTTCAAACCCATACGTTCCAATTTTTCTGCAATGTTCTGTTCAAATGCATTCATGTGGAATCATTGACCCCTAAGAGCCCGATGGCCTGTCTCCTCATAGACATTTGTTCTGTATTATCATCCTTCCCAGCCTCTAAAGTTAACAATACTGCACTTATCAGTAAGTTTGTGGTACCAGCCGCATATGACCTGTTTTCGTTAGTCCGTGTTTATAATTCAATCCGGGAAAATGTGATCTAGTTTTTTTTCTTACTACAAGTTTGAATGCGACTTTTTAACAGCCTAGAGAAACATCTCAGAATTTGCCATCACAGTTCTTACTATGTCATCAAAAAATCATGGAAAAATTTAGCACTCTTCTCGTTTCGATCCAAACCCTGCTGTTTCAATTATGATCTGCAATATCAGACTAATTCAGCAACCCCTGGGCTCTCGGATTCTAATCTTTCCCACACCCTAAGGCAAACCAAATCAAGTAGGCCTCTTAGTTTGATATTTCACCTCTTTTTGACATCCAGGTCAGGCTTCGTTACGATTTTCTTTCAGTAATATCAAAGTGGTACTTCTTTCATTAATGTAAGCTCGTAATTTTTGAGCAACCATTTCGGGTAATTTCCTTTGCTGGACAGTACTTTTGTACAAAACAAAACCGTTGCATTAAAGTTTACTTGACTCTCAGCCAATTTTAGTAATTGTTACATAATTTTGCGAGACATTTCAAGAGGATTAATTTGCTCATGCAATTTTTTATTGGCTACTAACAGTTTCTTTGACCAAAATCAAAGTTTGCCAACTCTTTACATCAGGCAAATTGTACTCTCATTAGAGTCAAGTTTTGGTTGCTTCAATCATCCCCAGCCATTTGAAAGTTCGTTTTTGTTTTAGCGATTTCACAATTCATTTAGAGTTCTATAAATTTCGCCGCAAACTCTCTAGCAGCCTCTCATATTGAGATTTCGACACCTCGCAACGTCGCTTAAGCTCCTTCTTTTACATTCCTTGCACGTGGTTTTTTTTCGCTTTTTAATGTTGTCTGTGATCAGAACAGTATCCTCCAGCTTAAATCAAAAACTGTTTTTCCGAGATATTATTTTGCCCTTAAACGGACGATGTGATCTGCCCGCTTGATTGTGTTGACCTCATTTCATTTCACGAAAGTTTCCGCCCCAGACAAAAAACGTCGGCTCCTGTTTCATCTTCACTCGGCTTTTGTGTTCCGCCGATCAGCTTCTGGAATTGTGCATAAGCGGGCGCACTGAACGGTATTTTTAGTGGTGCTTGGAGAGTCTGTTGTGGATCCTGAATTCTCTTGAAAAGGCAATGAATCTTGATAAGAACAATGTCTCCCCGGGTCTTGGTTTGTGATTTATAATTCGACCGAGGCGATGTGAAAATCATACAAACATAATTATACATACATTATACATGCATTCAAAATCCATAGTCGATCTCAAAGTCGAACAATAAAGTCGAGTCAGTCTAAACATAAAGTCGAGTCGATCGAAACATAAAATCGAACACAAAGTCGAAATATTAAGTCGAAACATCCACATACATACATACATACATACATACATACATACATACATACATACATACATACATACATACATACACACATACATACATACATACATACATACATACATACATACACACATACATACCTATATACAATAAAACTTTAACAATAAAATCCATAAATACATACCTGAGTACTTGTTATTTTTTAGCGTACGAAATTTATTTGACGATCGACCACAATCAAAAAGGTTTTTTTTTCAGTAAAAACGTTTTTGCCCGGTCAAACAGTCAAAATATTTTTGGCAGTCGAAACGCTTCTCAGTCGAGAAAAAGCTGCGTCGAACGAAGTCGATTTTTTTTTTGGGTCGAACTCGGTCGAAAAGTTTTTCCTCGATCGAAATTCTTCTCGGTCGGAAAACTCCTCAATCGAACACAGTCGAAGTGTTTTTTCTCGGTGGAAAAAAT